CAAATCCCGGGACAATAACCCGGATCGCGGTGCTAGGACCGGTCAACTGTCTAATTGTCGGCCCTTTTGGGGCGGTGAACCATACCCCATTTTGGGCAGCAGGTTTTGTCGGCCAGCTGCTTTAAGTGCGGGCACGCCACGTGCATCCTTTCTAACCTGGAACGGGGCAGACCTGTCCTATAGCTGGTTTTAATTCCCCGGGCCCTGTCTACCGTACCATATTCACCCAGGGCGGTCTCAGGAAATTGTCTTTCTTTTAAACTGGGCCACGCTGATGGGGGAGAAACCCGGAGTGGGGCGTCCCAGCATCTCCGAGACTCCGGGACTCCCGCCACATATTTTGAATGGCTTCGGGTTGGCATTCCCCTTCATGGTTCCTTTTCTCGGGAGCCGAGCCGATCTATATAGAACCAGTTTGTGTTAAGCCTTACCTTCCAGACCCCCTGTGGAGCCCGACTCCAGATGGGAAGTTCCACATTGCACTCCCCCTCGACAGAGCGGGGAGGATTATACCCCCCCCCCCCCCCCCCCCATATATTCCTCTCGGAAGCAGCGACACACTCCCAAAACGACGTGCTCTCCCCTCTCGCCATCTTCGTACTCGCCATGCGCCTGGCGGCCTTCACCGAGCAACACCACCGGATGACCGTGGCCAACGTTGCGATGCTCGCTCTCCGGGTGAGGAGAACTTCATGTGCCCTAGGAAGTGCCAGGACATGTAGGTGTCGAGGCTAGGTAGATTTTGTCATGACCTGGGATATATCTGTTGGTAGGTGGTATACATCAATGTCTGGCGCAGTCTGCTACCGGGTTATTCTCTTCAGTCAACATGCATATTAATTGTGCAATAGAAGTCTTGTGAAGTGGCCAGGCTACCTGCATAAGTTAGGCACAATCAATAATGGACGAATAATGAAATACCATACAATACCATACATACAGACAAACAAACAAACAAACAACCCCGCCTTCACCCGCGGGGTAACTAACTAGAGCAGATGAATAATAATAATATTAATAACAGCCCCAGCAGCGTCGCAGCAACAAGTAGCACCGATGTAGCATCCGAATACTACGTCTCAGTGCACGGAGGAGACACCTAGACCTAGGTAAGTCGATCGCATGATTGTCTTATCTTATGCCTATGGTATATATAACCCTCTCATCCCCCACAAACAGACAGCAAACAACCTAACCCCCTCATCCTAAAACAAACAACCCAATCCAGCAAACCGCAGACCCCAGACCCAGACCCAGACACAGACCCAGACCCAGGCCCAGGCCCAGCAAACAAAATGTCCCACCTCGACTCGCTCCAAAAAAACGGCTTCGTCGTGATCCCCTCGCTCCTCTCCCCCACCGAAGTCGCCCAATTCCGCGCCGCCGCCACAAAGGCAACCACCCTCACGCGCAGCGGCCACTGGCCGCACTTCCGCACCGTGCCGAAGCAGTTCCCGCCGTGGCCGACCACGCCGCCGCCAGCCTCCGAGGGCGGCATCTGGGGCGTGCAGCACCTGCTGCACCCGGAGATGCCGGGGCGGGCCGAGTTCGCGCGCTTCTACTTTTCCGACAAGGTGCTGGCCGTCGCCGAGGAGCTGCTGGGCATCACCGCCGACGCCCACAAGCAGGGCGGCGAGGAGCCGCTCGTCATGGAGCTGTTCAACCTGTTGGTCGCGCCGGAGACGAAGGACTTTGAGCTGCGCTGGCACCGCGACGATATCCCCGAGACGGTGTCGGCGGAGGAGGAGGCGGCGCTGCTGGCCAAGAAGAGTCCCGGCGGGCGCCAGTCGCACGCACAGTATAATCTGGC